CTAGTGATGTCTCGGAAGCTTACGAAACTTTAAGAAAGGCCATTCTTAAACGTGGATATCTAACCGACCGACAAAGGTTATATTAACTCTTTAATAACATCAATCTACAACGTGACTCAACAACAGAAGTGTTGCTATGAATGCGAGAGGTCATTGGTCGACGGAACTTTGACGACGGCCTGTTTAGACAACGTTTCCTGTCTGAGCTTCCTCAACAGGTGCAACCAGTGCTTGCTTTATTTCAAAACAACGCTGTAGACGAGCTGGTTGCATCTGCCGATCGAATTCTGGTGGCCGCCAGCACTCCCAACGCTGAGGTCTATTGAGTTAAAGAAAGGCCTCAAACGACACGAAATAATGCCAGAGAATTCTGTCATACTCTAGCACGTTGCCATAATATTCTTCCTGACCGCAGACGCTCTCAAACTCTTCGAAGAGTTCTTTGCGAAAACGACCTGTCTCATGTGGGACAGGTAGCACTGATTGGTGCTTTTATCATAATCAGTACGGAAAATCTCGAAATCGAAGGAAACGTTCCGTGATATACTGATAGATTTTCAAATATAACTTCTAAACTCTTCACTTCTGGCTTTTGATTTGACTGGAGTAGCATATTTTGACTATAAATGTATTACTGGTTAATGCGTTATTAAACTCTTAATACTTGTAGCATGATTATGTATATCTCAACATAGATTTTGGTGATTTTAACATTAAAAATCATACATTTAAGTGAGCTTTCTGAATCGCACGAGAGTAGTGCATATTTGTGCCACTGGCTTCCTTCACAAAAATTTTGGCGACCTAAAGAATGAAACTTCGAAGAAGATGTACTTAAGTGCTACGTTATAGCGTTTAGATGTTCGCTCAATCCCTTGTGAAGCTACACATAACTGTACCTTTTGTGCATGAGGCTGATTCATCTTCTGGAATATGCTAGTTATGTGGCTTATACATCTACCAAGAGAAGGCGATATTAATAACTCGGCGGGAGTTATTATCGTCTGAGGCAGATACATAATAATTAAAAACCTAAAGAAATCTGATACCTCCACTCAGTCTATTTCTGGCATAAAGGTATGACAAAATGTTTAAAATCAGCCGAAATCGCATTAAAAACGACAAAAATATAAGGGATGGGTCTCTATCGAAACCCTGGGCAAGACTCGGGAAAAGAAAAACAAGAAGACAGCATTTAACGACAGCCGAACATAGGCAGAGAAAGTCAAAGCACAAGCTGAGTACGCAGAAGCAAACAAGCAAGTGGAGAAGATCATCAAAGCCGACAAGCAGAATAACGTGGAAGAACTAGTAACGACAGTGTAACTGGGTGCGAGAGAAGGGAATATAAGACAACTATGTGGTGCAACGAAGAAATTTGCAGGTAGATATAGTAAACTAGAGAGATCGGTCAAAGTCAAAGAAGGCAGGCCGATCTCCTAGATTCCAGAACAGAAGCACCGGTGTGTAGAGTACTTTGAAAAATTCTTGAATAGACCAGCTCCATTGAGTCTATTGGATATCGATGGAGCACATATAGACCGTCCCATAGATACCACTCCACCAACTGTCGAAGAAATCAAGATGACTATCAGACAAATGAAGAGTAGGATAGCAGCAGGACCTGACAATATACGAACTGAAGCTCTGAAGTCAAACATAGAAGTAACTGCGAAAATGCCTCACCTATTCAGGAGGATTTGGGAGGACGAACAAGTGACTATGAACCTGAAAGAAGGACACCTCATCAAGGTACTAAAGAAAGAGAATCTCAGCGAGTGCAAGAAGTAAACAGGCTCCACACCATTATCGGTACCAAGAAATGTTTTTAACAGAGTGTTTTTGGACTGGATGAAAGACTCAACAAACGCACAGCTTCGAGACTAACAGGCTGTACTTGGTAAGGATTGTGTGCACACCGAATCACAACACTACGGAACAAAGCTGAGTAATCGGTTGAATGGAACTCGTCACTGTACATCAAATTAATTGACTATGAGATGCCATTTGACAGTGTGGATTGGAGGACTTCACGGAAACTTCTTCAACAATATGCTGTACCTGAAAAGACCGTTATCATCATACGGAATTCATACACTACAAAGTCGTGCATGGAGGACAGCTGACAGATACATTCTAAGTAAGGAACGGAGCCAGACAAGGCTGCTTACTCTCCTTCTTCCTTTCTTTCCGGAGGTCGAATGGGTTATGAAGACTGCGACATCGGAGAAGAAACACGGAATACAATGGACAGCTCGGAATCAGTTAGACGGTTTGGACTTCGCAGATGACCTGGCCCTTGTATCCTATAAACACGAATAAATGCGGATGAACATAATCAGTGTAGCAACAGCCTGTGATTCAGTAGGCCTCAACATACATAAAGGAAAAAGCAAAGTCCTCGAATACAACACAGAAAACACCAACCCAATCATACTTGATAGAGGAACTCTGGAAGGCATCATCGATGAACAGGGAGGATCTGATGCAGACGTAAACGCAATGATTGGAAAAGCGAGGACAACATTCTCACAGTTGAAGAACATATGAATCTCAAACCAACTTTCAAACAATATCAACTTCAAGCTCTTCAATACGAACGTCGAGTCACTCCTACTATGTGGAGCTGAAACGTGAAGACCTACCACAACCATCTTCAGAAAAGTTCAAGTATTTATAAATAATTGTCCACGCAAGATACTCGATATCTGTTGGCCGGATAACACCAGAAATAACCTACAGTAGGGGAAGACAAACCAACTTCCAGCTAAAGAGGAAATTCGGAAGAGGTGTTATAAGTGGATAGGATATACATCACGGAAATCACCAAACTGAGTCATGATGCAAGCCCCAGCTTGGAATACTGAAGGGGAACGGAGAAGTGGAAGACCAAGGAATACACTGAGTCGATAATTGGAAGCAGGCATCAAATGGTTTAGTGACAACTGTAAAGAAGTGGAAGGGCTTGCCGAGAACAGAGTTGGATGAACAATGTCAGTGGGCGGCCTATGCTCCACCACGAAAGGTGACAGGCGTTAGTAAGTAAGTATACTGGCATTTTGACGAGATGCGCAACTTTGGTAGCCTCAACAACAGCGCAGTTTTTATGACTTTATGTGTATAATTTATACCGAAAAAGATTCACGCCATTATCGTAGACATGAGTTGAGGGCTGTACACCCTATGTACGCAACCTATGCTCTCCCTGATAAACACATGAGCGGTACAAACTGTTTATCATCTTTGCAAAAATTGATTTAGCTTAAAGAATCGCAAGCACCGTGTCACCTATATTTGTGGTACACAACCGTAGTTGATTTTTGCGCCTTATAATCACTCCATACAAATCGATTTCCATTTTATCCCAAACTTGATACTTGCAAACGACTTGTATACACCATCAACCAGCATGTATGAACATATATAATTGGTCTACTGCACACTACAACCATGAGTCCGGTGTATGGCACTCAAGGATGTACACACGTTTAACGAATTACTGTCAGCTATCTGTTTGAAAGTCACATACTTATCAGTATTTTCACGTATTAAAAGAATCTTTCATAACAGTTCATATGTTTTAATAATAATGAGGCCCAGTAAATCTTGTCGCAACTAAATAAACTGTATCAAACTGGAACATTGGTCGGAATTGTTCGTCTCCGCTGGTACAAGTAATTATACCGCTAATTAGAGAGCAGTGAATAGTCGATCGGACCAATGACGCATAAAGCCGTTACGAGCAGTCTAGAGTCTTTGCCGGTCCTGCTTCGCCCTGTCTGTTAAGTCCAGAACACCAATCTCAGCCTCTGCATTATGAATCATGTATTTCAAACATACTGGGTTGTATACGAACCAAACAGACCACATCGCACCGCAAGACAGAAAAAAACATTTGTACAAGATCTAGCCAAAAGTGCCTGTGAATTTGGGGAACTGTAATTAATAGACTGGGCATAACTCAAGAACGGTGAATCGTATAATAATAATCTATAGGTCAAAATAAAACTGTTGATAAGAGGAACATGAATATGCATAGTTTAGCTACTTATTAATTATACAATAAAAATATCTGCATTGTACTTTTCTGATAGGCATTTGTTATCCCCAACCTAAATATTGATAGGCAAGCTGTTCGGTACTCCGTTACTTGACTCCCAGATGATTCAGCTAGGGCCTAGTGATATTTCACTTGTCCCACGGAGTTAAACTTAAAATTCATATTTTCGAAGAAACTAAATTCTAAGATGAGAAATACCAGCAGATAACAAAGAACAACTGTTGGTGTGATTTAATTGAGGGATACTGTTGTTAGTGCTCACCATAAGCAAAACCACTGTGATAAAAGAGGAACAAGTGGTTACAGGTTGGAAGGCACACTGCACTGCAGTTAGTGAACTGAGGATTACTAAGTAAACTTGCCAGATGAACATAATATATACAATATCCCAAGATAAATTCATGGTGCGTAACAAAGTTTCTTCAGCTAGCAGTGTCAGCATACTAGAATTTAGTAATGTCCTTAGCACAGTTCATAGACAAGCACAGGACAATGCAAACAGACAATTAGTGGAAATCAATGAAGAATGAAAGGGAGGACTTAGAAAAACAGCACAATGGTTAGCTCATTGTTCGCAGTGGCGAATCCTCTAAATCTATACCTCCTTATTTATCAGTCGCTAGTAGCCTCATAATAATTTTCCAAAACCCTTCGCACTCACCAATCATAGTGCAACGGTGTTTCGAATTTTACTTCATTGAAGTACGTCATATTAGTTAATCGAAATATTCCTAACACTGCTAGAGTAACTTTAAGCAAAGAGCACGTTTGTAGTTACTAGTAGGTGGGACATTTATCATTTTATCGAATACGTTAGTTCTGTGAACAAACGGGAATTTCTGCTTCTGAGTTGTTTTAATTTACTAAGTATAGTTTATACAATCTGACCTCATGAGTGTGATAAACTGAATTTTGTGGATCTATCGCGCAAAATACAGTGATGTCCGACAAGGATTTCCCCTTACAAAAGAATATGCCTATCAGTGTAAGGTCATCTTTCAATATTTTTGATTATGTTATTTATATGTTATCTCGAGAGTATTTCAATATTTCAAAGCTGGTTACATTCGCTCCTATATTATCAGGGTTATGAAAGTTGCGATTAAAAAGTTTGATATTTGTAAATTTTCATTAAGTTACGCGTTTCTCATTCATTTTATTTGCTCGGAAATACTATGCAAAACATTTTTGTTTCTGTCAAAGTAATTTTTCGTGACTTCGATCGAAGTCGAGTTATACTTAGGTTTTCGGAAGTATATATTCGTGGGAAAACCTGTGTTATGCAACTGTATAGTGCACACGGTGGATATTACGTAGCAAGACTTGATATCTAATTCTCATATAAATTATTCAAGAAAAAACCCAGGAATTATGGACATATACTGGAAAACTACTCACGTAACATATGTTTTATCTTAAATAAAGCAATCCGAAAACCTCATGTGATATCAGATCCATTTTTATGACACTTTATCTTCAGTGGGACGAGTTGTTTGTGCGTGAACTAATGACAATTAGACCAATAGGCAATGGAATTGATGATGTCACAGGTATTCAGTGTTTGACAACGCTTCTACCAGTAACACCTTCTAATATATTTCGTTCCCGCCCAGAGAAATCAAAAGACAGAGTCGAGGAGATCGGAAGAGTATATTTGGCGATGACCAATATATCGGAATTCTCTGATCTAATCTAGCTAGCGATTGCGGTTGATGTTGAGCACGGCGTTACCACACGTGATCTGGTGCGGATGACTGACCGAGCGCCTTCAGCTAGGTGAGTCCACTAAAACATATGGTCAGCATCCAATGTCGAAAACTTAGTGCTATTTATTTTGGGGATTTATTTACCGCTACAGATCACTCCCCCCCTAGTGGGGCAGTGACGACCCTAAGACGTGGCCAGCCAGAAGTTTAAACCCAACGAGTTTGTCGTTGGTAAACACTCTTCTGATAGCTTACTAAATTTAGCAGCGTCTGGTCGTCTTTCCTTACTATATGGGACGGGGGTACAACATAGTAAAAAAAGAAAATGTACAATGAAAATTTCGGATCCTCATAAACGTCATCGTTCTTTTCCAGCCGTCCTGGAAAAGAAAAAAGAAAATGTAAGTGCATGTCGAAATACACTCGTATGTGCGTAAAAGCACAATGTCGGCGGAAAAAAATGGAAAATAAACTCATGAACACGTAATAGCGTTAAAAAAATTGTTTTTTTGTTTTGTTTTTTTTAAATAGAAATAAAAATATATAAGCATAATAAAATTGTTTTTTTTAAAAAAAATAATATAAAATGTCGAGAAGTGCCTTACGTGCAATAGTCGTTTAGATGTTCTGGAAATCTCACCCTTCTTCCAGAACGCGTCGTTTTAAGTTTATTTTCGGATACTGTCGAAGTATCATCGTGTGTGTTGGTTGTCGGATGAGGTATTATAAGTGTCGGAGTCGTGTCGTTCGATTGTACCGAAGGAAAATCCACGTAGATAGGATTTCCTTCTAAATACGCTGCTTTTAAGCGATCGATACTGATGCTATCGTTGGTTCCGTTCTTATCGACTATATAGTACTTAGATTCACGTTGAAGAACTTTGAAGGGTCCTTCGTATGCTGATTCGAAGGGTCGTCGATGCGAGTCTCGACAAACGAAAACGTGTGTACTATATCGTAAGTCAGGTTGAACGAAAACATCAGTTGATTGAGGTCGAGTGGAAGCAGGTTTAACTGAACGCATTGCGTTTGTAAGCCTGTTCGTGTAGGAGGTTAGATCCATGTTCATTGAAGAGGATGGAGGATCCACGAATTCTCCTGGAAGTCGAAGTGTCGTACCATAAACGAGTTGAGACGCAGTGTATCCAATGTCAGCTTTCACTGCATTGCGGATACCTAGTAAGACGAGTGGAAGAGCGTCGGTCCACTGTGAAACGTTTGCAGCTGATAGCGAAGCTTTCAGTTGTCGGTGAAAACGTTCTACCAACCCGTTTGCTTGTGGATGGTAGGCGGTCGTTCGGAATCGAGTGATTCCTAAAAGTGTGGTCAGACGACGGAAAAGATCGGATTCAAACTGACGTCCGCGGTCTGTAGTGATGGTTGAAGGGCAACCGAAGTTTGCTACCCATCGTTCGACGAAGGTGCGAGCCACTGTTTCAGCAGTGATGTCCTTGATAGGTACTGCTTCTGGCCATCGAGTGAAACGGTCTACGCAGGTTAAGAGATAAGAGTATCCATTTGAATCTGGTAAAGGTCCTACCAAATCCAGATGAACATGGTCGAAACGAGCATCGGGAGTTTTAAACGAGCCTAAGGGACATTTATTGTGTCTGATAACCTTAGATTTTTGGCAGTTTACACAGGAGCGTGCCCACTCCCTCACGTCTTTATTCATTCCAGGCCAGCAAAACCTTTCTGCAATAAGCTTGAGTACTTTAGGTGTCTGTTCAGTCATGATGAAGTATGAAGTACGATAATGAACAAGGGGAAAATATATATATCCAGGAAAAAACACGAAAAAAAATCACAATGTTTAAAAAAGTTAAAAAAATAAGGCAATGATAAATAAAAATCCCAAAAAGGAACAGACTCACAGTTGCAATTAGGTGTACCAGATCACGTCGGTTTCACCAATGATGATGTCACAGGTATTCAGTGTTTGACAACGCTTCTACCAGTAACACCTTCTAATATATTTCGTTCCCGCCCAGAGAAATCAAAAGACAGAGTCGAGGAGATCGGAAGAGTATATTTGGCGATGACCAATATATCGGAATTCTCTGATCTAATCTAGCTAGCGATTGCGGTTGATGTTGAGCACGGCGTTACCACACGTGATCTGGTGCGGATGACTGACCGAGCGCCTTCAGCTAGGTGAGTCCACTAAAACATATGGTCAGCATCCAATGTCGAAAACTTAGTGCTATTTATTTTGGGGATTTATTTACCGCTACAGAATTATTGTGTGTATCTCTTAATAGGAGTTGTGTATTACACAGATTAGAAGTATTTTATCACCTTAACAACCCATGCATACGCGAAAGACTGCTGATTGATGGAAAGAACAAAGTACAAGATGAAGCAGAACTCTCGTCCACATGCTCATGTAAAGAAAGACGAGCCTGTCAAATTAGTTAGTAAGGAATTAGAAAACTGACGTTTTTAAAGAGTGAATTTCTTAAAGTGCCTTCAATTCCTGACTGGAAACTGTAAGCTGGCTGGAATCATTAAAACAATGTGGTTAAAGACTGGTGTTGAAAACTAGTCAGATCATTTACTCAAAACAATTTTTCAGATGTAAATAATATTTTTTTCAATAACTTGATCGTCACGTGACTTATACTATCTCGGTTTTAAACGAAAAACCGACAGTAATTCGTTTGTATAGTAGGTTGATCTGGATCTTTAGAGCCTACTTATCCATTACGCAATGGCAAGAATATTAAAAGACGAGATTATACAATCGCCTCTTTATCTTATTTGGATAACGAACAGGCGATGTTTCATGGCAAAATATGCATTAACGTGTGATTTATCGGTTGAAAATTCATACGTTGCTACCACTATGCAATGACTCATCTACCGGCTGTCGCTTTGGAAGTTTTGATATAAACTTATTTGATCCCTAAACTATTAAGTTAAAAAATAACGGTTTTAGAAGTTCAGTTTTACTTGAATTGAGAGCGGACATCCCACTATCATTAGTATTGAAACGTCATGGCGGTAGTAGTCATAAATCCCCATTTCTATAGAAGACTAACGACTTCATTTCAAACATCTAGTTTTTTTGTTATTGAAGTGATGATAAGAGTATTACGATCATATTCTTTTCACCAAAAATCTACTTATTATGTGATGTATATTGTATCTTATTGTTAGTGAGAAACTTTTCGTACTCAATTAATTTTAGTCCTAATAGTTAATAGGTGATTGTGTTTAGATCACGCAAAGTTTGGGGAAGCTTTAACAAAGTGTTATGTTCCTCTTTGAAAGTGTATTCGACGCAACAACCCGAAGAAATTTGATGATCGCGACGCTTCGTTAGCAATAAAACGATAAGAGCTTTTAAGACAGTCACAGGAAAGCATGAAACTATCGCTAAGTTATAATTCACACCATCAGTCAGAAGAATAGTATCTCATTTTGTGATGAAGTATTACTTTCGTTTTTCAAAGCAATTTTCATTTTTTTCGGAAGCTTAATGCAAAGTGTGATTTTATAAGTATCAATTAGACTAGCATGCCAAACTTACGTTGACCTGTCAATACGCTCTTCCCAGACAAGACTTATTATGATTCGTTTTTTGGACTGAACATGTTTTGTACGATAAAGCTGAAAAGTCAAGTGGTTCTTAATCTAATTAGTGTTATTTTATCACTTTCCTCTTAAAATGAACATAAATATAACATGACAAAACATGAACGAATTTCCCTGATCATGAAGTAAATCACTACTACAATCATATTTTGTGCATTTGAAAGGAAAATCAGGACGCGATTTTTTAGATTTACCCAGGGTACATTATCTGAACATGCCTGGGTTTGTATTGTTCTCGTTGTTTGAGTCCTATAACTTACATATCTCGTGCACAGCCAATTTATTCATCACAAGCATGTGTTAGAAATGAGTACTCATAGGTAGTTATTACGAATGATGCAGTGCTATTCTGACTGAAAGCGATTTTCTAACTAGCTCTGTCGTCCACTAGCTGGCTAATTCTACTACTCAGTTCCGAGACTTGGAAAATGAGGACGTATGAGATTACACAACCCAAGTCACCTTAACGCCTAAATCTAAGCATTGAGTTACTTCATGATTTTTCAACATCATTTAAATAAAAAACATAGACATGTTAATTATCACCACTCTAAGCAAATATAGTTACTTTAAAAAGCATTGGTAACGCACAGGAAACTTATTTAAGCTGCGAATCAAACTAAACTCTGTAAAACAGAATGAATTTCAATCTGCTGTTACTATTATTATTTCATTTGTTTTA